GGACGGATGCATCCTTAATAAATTATTTTCTCCGTGAAGATATTCTCAGCTGTATATGCAACTCTTGTTCTAATGTAATGGTGAAATTAGAGGCTGGTTGCATGCACGCCGCCGCCAGACCCCCCGTCCCAGCCATAAACCCTAAACCCTAAACCCTAAACCCTAAACCCCCAGCACACGAGAGGAGGAAGCAGCTGAGTTGTTGAGAAATATTTTCCGTAGAATATCTGAGAGTTCCTTCACAGGCTGTCTTCGCTGCTTATCAGTTGTATACACCAGGGCACAACACTCCTGGGGTGTACGTGTGATGCTCGTGGCTGTCTGGGTGTATCGTGCGGCGCTGCTGCAGTTGAGTGCAAACAGCGGAGACAAAAACTCCCCCGCAAGCAGCACACACACACCGCCCCAGTCCCCAGCTATCCTGGGTAGATCGGGGTGGGGTTGTTGTGGCGACGCAGCGGTCTCTCGTGAGCTGCTGTGCTGCACCTCCTGCTGCAGCATGCATGCATATACATGCAGCCCCAAACTTGGATGCATGCATGCACAACGATGCAGACAACTGCTAGCTTTTTTTGCTCTCAGAAATATAAACCCATATGCACACAGTCTATGATACAGGGTTTAAGGGTTTAGGGTTTAGGGTTTAGGGTTTAGGGTTTTTGTTAGTGGATACTGAAATTCTTNTACAGGGTTTAAGGGTTTAGGGTTTAGGGTTTAGGGTTTAGGGTTTTTGTTAGTGGATACTGAAATTCTTTGCTAAACCCTAAACCCTACACTGACATACAAAACCCTAAACCCTAATCCTCTCTGACCTGCACAGTCAACGCATATCTTCGACTCTCCTAAACCCTAAACCCTAGACCCTAAACCCTAAACCCTAAACCCTAAACCCTAAACCCTCGACATAATAAATACACCAACCCCAGGAACCCTCGTTTCAGATCAGCTGCCGTGGAGACGAGAACAGAAGGCAGGGGGAAGGGCCCATAGCTTTCAAACCCCTAAACCCTAAACCCTAAACCCTAAACCCTAAACCCTAGATGCTGGGGGGCCCCTGTGGGGCTGTTGTACGTAGGGGGCCCCCGCGGGGTCAGGATCGATGAATTGTTTTAGGATATTATTATTTTTCTTTTTCTTCTTTCGTTTTTAAAGTTTTTTATTTAGGTTTTGTTGGGTTGAACTTAGGGTTTAGGGTTTAGGGTTTAGGGTTTAGGGTTTAGGGTTTAGGGTTTATGGGTCTCGATGAGGGGG